GAGTTAACTTCAAGTTATAGAAGTAAGTTGACTCATAGAAATGAAGCTAATGAGCACATGAAGTAATAGGAAGCTGGTCATACAATTTTATATTTTCATCATCAGTGCACGAATGAGAATTCCCATTGCTTCCACATCCTTGCCAACATTTGATCTGTTTACTCTAAGCCATTCTAATAGGGCATAGTAATATCTCTGTGGTTTGAATTTGCATACACCTAATGACTAATGATGTTGACTACCTTTTCATGTTCTTTTTGTCATCTCTATATATTCATTGAAGTCTCTGTTCAAATATTTTGCCTATTTTCATTGGGTTGTTTCCTTATTATTGGTTTTTAACGGTTCTTTTTATATTCTGGATACAAGTGCTTTCTCAGATATGTGATTTGCAAATATTTTTTCTATTCAATGCCTTATCTTTTTATTTTCTTAAGAGCGCCTTTTGAAAAGTAGAGGTTATTAATTTTGATGAAGTCAAATTTATCACTTTTTCTTTTATGGATTGTGCTTTTGGTGTGATACCTAAGAAATCTTTGCCTAATCCCAAATCACAAATATTTTATCCTGTTTTCTTCTAGAAGTTTCAATTTCAGTTTAATATCCTCTTTATTTTGAAATTTTTATTGTAGTGGAAAGTTGAAGCTTCATTTTTGAATATGGATAACTAATTGTTCCAGCACCATTTACTGAAAGCACTAACTTTTCTCCACTGAAATGCCTTTGCATCTTGGTTAAAAAAAATCAACTGATCATGAATAAGCAGGACTGTTTCTGGACTCTATTCTGTTCCATTGGTCTACTTGCCTATCTTTACGCCGACGTCACACTGTCTTGATTACTGTAGCTTTAAAATAAGTCTTGATTCAGGTAGTATAAATCTTCCAACTGTTTGGTTCTTTTCCAAAGTTGTTTTGGCTGTTCTAGGTGAATTTTGGAATCAGCTTGTCAACTTCTATGAAACAGCCTGCAGAAATCTTGATTGGGAAACTTTGACTGCATTGACTATATATATCAATTTAGGATGAATCAGCATCTTGATAATATTGAGTCTTCTGCTCCATGAACATGATATAATTAGGTGTTCTTCAATTTCTCTCAACAATGCTTATAATTCACAATGTTTCTGTGATTTTTGTATAGATGTTATACATCTTTTTTTCAAGTTGATGCCTAAGTTATTCACATTTTTTGATACTACTATGAATGATGTTGTTGCTATAATTTCTAATTTTTCATTCCTAATATATAGGAATTAAATCAATTTTTATATATTCATCTTGTATGATGCAACCTTGCAAAACTCACTTATTAGTTCTAGTAGTTTTCCTACAGAGACAATCATATTGCAGCAGATAGTTTTATTTTTTTCCCCATCTGATAGCTTGTATTTCTTTTACTTGTCTTACAGCACTGGAGAGAACGCTGGTACCATGTTGAATAGAAGTGGAGAGGAAAGATTCTTGACTTATGATCTTAGAGGAAAAGCATTCAGTTTTCAACTGTTAGGTACAACATTAGCTGTAGGTCTTTTATAGATGCCTTTTATACGAGTGAGAAAATTCTACTTGATACCTAGATTGCTGAAAGTTTTTTTTTTTTTTTTGTGGTGAGGAAGATTAGCCCTGAGCTAACATCTGTTGCCAATCCTTCTCTTTTTGCTGAGGAAGATTGGCCCTTGGCTAACATCTATGCTCATCTTCCTCTAACTTTATACGTGGGACGCCTGCCACAGCGTGGCTTGATAGGCAGTGCATTGGTCTGCGCCTGGGATCCAAACCTGTGAACCCCGGGCCAACGCAGCTGAGCATGTGAACTTAACCACTACACCACCAGACCAGTCCCTGAAAGTTTTTATCAGGAATGAACGTTGAATTCCGTCAAATACTTTTCCTACACTTATTGAGATGATCACAAAGTTTCTTTTTTAGTTGCTAATTTGGTGAATTATATAAATTGATTTTTGAATATTAAGCCAATCTCGCATTCCCAGGATAAACTCCACTTGGTCATAAGGGATTATCCTTTTCATATGTTGTTGGGTTCACTTTGTTAAACACTTTTAAAGAATTTTGCATTTATGTTCTTGAGTGATACTGGTCTGTAGTTTTGTTTTCTTGTAACGTTTCTGTCTGGTTTTGCAATCAGGGTAACGTTGCCTTAATATAAGTTGGGAAGTATTCCTTCCTTTTCTGTTTTTTGGAGGTTTATATAGATTTAATATTATTTCTTCCTTAAACGTTTGGTAGAATCCACCAATGAAGTCATTTGGGCGTAGAATTTTCTTTGTGGTAAGTTTTTTAACTATATAATTAATTTCTTCATAAACAGGTGGCTATGCCGGTTATCTATTTCCTCCTGAAGTCAGTTTCAGTAGCCTGACTTCTTGAGTGAGTTTTGGTAGTCTGCGTCTTCCAAAGCATTTGCCCACTTATCTAAGTTGTCAAATTTTTGGCATAAAGTTGTTCATAATATTCCTTTATGATACTTTTAAATATCTATAGAATCTGTAGTGATGTAACCTCTCTCATTCTTGATTCCTGATAATGGTAATCTGTGTCGTTTCTTTTTCTGAACAGTTTGACTAGTGGTTTATTAATTTTTATCCATCTTCTCAAAGAATCAGCTTTTGATTTCATTGTTTTTCTCTACGGGTTTTCTGCTTTCCTTTTAATTGATTCCTGCATTGATCTTTACTATTTCCTGTCTTTTGCTGACTTTGTATTTCATTCGTTCTTCTTTTTTTAGTTTCTTAAGGTATCAACGGAAGCCACTGATTTAAAACTTTCTTCTTTTCTAATATAGGTGTTTAGTCCTATAAATTTCCTTTTAATTACTGATTTGCTACATTCCACAAATCTTGAAACACTGTGTTTTCATTTTAATTCACTTCAAAATACTTCCCAGTTTCCCTTTTGATTTATTCTTTAACCAACGATTATTTAGAGGTATTTTATTTAGTTTCCAAATATTTGAGGACTTTCCAGTTATCTTTCTATTTGATATCTAACTTAATTCCACTGTGGTCAGAGAACACACTTTGTAAGACTTGAATCCATTTAAATTCACTGACTTGTTTTACAGCCCAGAATATGCCGTCTTGATAAACATTCCATGTGCATTTGAAAAGCATGTTGGGTTGGGTAAAGTGTTCCATAACTGTTGATTATATCACTTAGATGATAGTATTGAGCTTTCTATGTCCTTACTTATTTTCTGCTTTCTTGTTCTATCAATAATTGAGAGGGGGATGTTGAAATCTCTAACTACAATCACAGATTTGTCTATTTCTCATTGCAGTTCTATCACTTTTTGTTTTATTTATTTTGAAGCCCTGATTTTAAGTGCATAAACATTTAGGATTGTTATTTTCCAGTGATGAAATAACACTCTTTATCCTTGGTAATATTCTTTGCCTGACAGTAACACGGTCACTCCAGCTTTCTTTTGATTAGCCTTAACATGGTATAACTTCTTCCATCTTTTTATATTTGCATCTTTAAAGTGGGTTTCTTTAGTAGACAGTAGATTACTGGTTATTGCTTTTTGTTTATTTATCCATTCGGAGAATCTCTGCTTTCTAATTGGGGTGTTTAGATCATTACATTTAACGTGATCACTGATATGCTTGGGTTTAAATCTACTGTCTTGCTATTTGTTTTATATTTGTCTCATCTGTCTTCTGTTCCGTTTTTTTTTTCTGCCTTTTGTTTTAGATTGTGGATTTTTTATTATTCCTTTTTATCTCCTCTTTTAGATTATTACCTCTAACTCTTTCCTGTGTTGCTTTAGGATGTACAGCACGTATTTTGACTTGTCACAGTCTACTGTCATGTGCTATTACACCACTTCATATAAAGTACAAAAACTTTATATTATATATCCATTTGTCCCCTCCCAGACTTTGTGCTATAGTTGTTGTAGGTTTTACATTTACATGTTAAAAATTCCACAATACGTTTTCATGTTGGATAGTTTCTATTACTATTCTATTCTTCAACTTTACTGATTTTTTTATGCAGTGTCTGAACTGCTATTTATTAAGTGTAATTTCCATATCAGGTACTGAAATGTGCATCTCTAGAAGTCTGAATTTATGTTTCAATGTCTCTACTCAATATGTTTAACCTTTACTCTTGAACCTATGACAGTTATAATGATTCTCATATTTATATGAAAGGTGCTTACTAAATCGTGCTCATTAAAAGAGCCAGTTATATAACTTCTGCTTCTGGCCAAGACAGAATAACACACAATGGATTTATCCTCCTTCCTGAAACAACTAATATAACAGACAAAATATATATGAAACAATACTCTGTAAGACACTGGACATCAGGCAACAAAAAACAGTGATCGCTGAGAGATGGGAAACACTAAGTAAGCATCTTTCTGTGAAATATAACACTCTCTTTCCAACCTGCTTAAATTTGTGCATAGTATATAACACCATAACTATACCCATACACATTACGTATTTGTCTCCCTCTGTTAAGAATTTAAGGTCCACAAGATCAGAGACTTTACCTTGTTTTACTGTGTCATCTTTAGTACCCAGATCACACCTGGCACACAGCAGATAATCTTAATATTTGTTGAAAGAATGAATTTACAGACAATATTATTTTGTAAATCAATGACCAATGTATCCCCTTGAATGTGTCAAAATTTAACCATTCTTCTATTTCTAGACATTTTGGTTGTTTTCAGTTGTTCCTTATTATAGAATAAGATTAATAACTTATAGCTGAATCTTTGTTCATATCCGAATTTCCCTCTAAGAAACTTCTAAAAGTGGAAATGTTTGGTGAAAGCATATGTAAACTTGGAATGTTTTTGAAATGCTCTACATATCTGTTCTCCATTAGGTTGAACCTATTTAAATTATGCTCAGTAGTGTGTGAAAGTGTCTTTCTTGGGGGATTTTGATTACTGTTATAACTAATCTTCCTCATTAAGTACTTGGAAGAGGCAGAGACAACAAAGCAATCACCTTCTACCTTTAATGATGTGGATGCCCGCTAAGCCATTGAGAGCACAGACTAGCTGCCGATGCGCTTCTTCACACTCAGTGCCACATTTCTTCTGCAGAGACGTCAGCAGCTCTTCCATTGTCATGGTGCTAAAAGAAAAGGCAGACTGTTTACAACCAGAAAGAAAATCCTAAGTGTTATTTCACTGAGAGTATGACATCACGTAAGATAAAGAGTATCAGACTCCCACAGACTCTTTGTGATACCTTCAACATCTTTCTCTTCACCTCCATTTTTACCACTATCACTTTTAACTTAATTACCTCTTACTATTCTAGCAAGCATCCTTCTGATTCCGTCATTCTTTAACTTTTTCCCATTTCAGTCAATGGAGAATGGAATTAGAAAAATCTTCCTAAAGTACAAAGTACAACATGATATATTTGAAACAGTACGGTGTTAGAATGTAAGACTGAGTCTGAATCCCAGCATCATAACTTAATTAATCTTCATGAGCCTGAATTTTCCTTATCTATAAAAAAAAAATGAAGATTCTCCAAGGATCTGATCAAATGCCGTTTCGACTAGAAGGCTGTCTAACACTAACCATTTACACAGAAATTGTTCCATACTCTAATTGTCCATAGCAATTTATATGTACCTCTTGTGAAATATACTATGCTGGCCTTATGTAACAGAAATCTACAACCTTTGTCATCTCTTTCATTTGTCCATAAACTGCTTAAAGGCAAGGACAAACACCTACTTTCTCCTTATATTGCTCATAGCACCTGAAAGACTATCTTTTTAACACCAGGTGCTAAAAAAAAAAGGTCAGTTCCTGAGTCGTCGTCTGCTGAGCAAACAACTCTAGCACAGTCAGTACTGTGGACATAAATACTTTCAAGTGTTAAGATGAAATAATCAAAGAGACGTAGTTAGCACAATTACAAAGAAAACATTTAATGGATATCTAATTTATCTCATTACCTGATGTGGGAACAAAAAAGTATAACAAGAAAAGAACAAAAGCCTTTCATATCTGGAGTGCAGCAAAAACACAAAATAAAACTCCTGAATACTCCTAATTTTAAAAGCAATGTTCAAAACCATAGAAATAGTTTTGATGATGTGATTCTCTTTCACAAGCTGGGTTCCCCACCAAAGAAAAACCACTACGCTGCTACACGTAACTGACAACTCAGTTATAAGACCCTCACCAGACCGTGGGCTACAAAGCTGACTGCTCACATACTCTCTGTTCCTCCTATATGATCATTGCAGTGTAAGGAAGCTGTAAGGAAACCTTTTTTGCAGGGGCAAGAACTCCCCGCGGACGGCCTGTGGGTGGCAGCAGGCCTGCCTGAGCCGCAGCAACGGATACAGGATGGAGGTGACAGTCCTCCGGTCCAGGCTGCTGAGCTTGAGAGCCCAGTCGGAAATCTTCCTGAGTTTTACTACTGCATCCTGGCAGCACACCTCATGCTGACGGTGATAGAAATGTCTTTCCACCGGAGAGAAGTGGAGCCAGTGTATTTCTTCTGTCTGAGGGGGTATCTGGATCTGCAGGGAGAGGAAAAAATATGATTTCACCTTGAAATTTAACTTTCCGTCTCAACTCTGCTTCTTCTTTCTTGTAATACCCTTAAGAAAAACTTATCCTACTGACTTGGTCAATCACATCTTTCTTTGCAGACCTCCAGAGTATCTTGGCAATAAAGCTGTAGAGGAGCTGAGGATTCGTCTTGCAGTAAGGGCGATAGAGAAGGCGAACCCACCAGTGTCTGACACAGTAAGGCTCAATACCGAGAAAGACCACTAACCCAAAAAGATCTGAAAGAAGAAAAGAAAAAAGGTCACTGAGAATAACTGTTTCTGTATTTCTTCATTACTATTTCGAATGACCACTTTCATAGATGTTACACAGCACATGGCACTTTCCATGAATTACAATGTAGATTGCATAGGCTCTTGAATCTGAAAGTTAATTCCACGTCAACTTACATTCATTGAGTGTTGGTTTTGCTATAGGTTTTGTGCTAGGAGCTAAAATGTTCCAAGTTTATGGAACCACTACACAAAGCTTGTACTTGATTCAAAAGTCTGAAATTTCCGTCAGAAGTAAAACCAGAAAACTACTCAATTGTGTATGCCTGATCGAGAAATATATAAGAAGTATCATGCACTGAAACTAACCGATGCAAGACTTGCTGGATTAGGAAAAAAAGTTCTAATTACATAGGGGATATGAAAAATATTCTCTGATCTAATATCGCTCATATCTTTTGGTCTAATAATTCTACTTCTAGGGAACAAGTGTAAGACAATAATAAAAAATACAGACAAGATTTAGCCACACAGCAATATTGAGAGCAACAATATACAGAATAAAAATGACTCAAGTAAAAGAATGACTAAATAAATTACGGTACCCCTCGTATAAGACAGAACCTTTCTTTTTCTGATCCAGCAGGTCTTGTGTTTTTTAGATTTACAGCATGGTACTTCTTGATTGGGCATACTCAATTTTATATTCCATTTTTTTTGCCCACTTAACATTATACCCTAAGCAGTTTTTTACACATTTATGATGAAGTTTTAAAACACGAAAAACTGCTTAGGATACCATGTTAAGTGAAAAATAAACGGAATATAAAATCATGCGTGCACTATGACAACAATTATATAAACATTTGTACAGAAAAGGTTAAAACAGTGGTTATGTCTCCAAATGAAGATTATGGCTGAGGGTAATTTTCTTTATATTTTTCTGTATTGTTAAACAAGTGAACAATGGGCATATATTTTCTTTAGAGGCCATAAAAATTTTTTTAAAAAAGGCCATGACTGTACCTACAACATTTATTCTGAAGACGATCAACAAATCTTTAGGTTGAATTAAGTTACTTTGCCGGTTCCTGAGAGCTGGTAACATCTGAAAGAACCACTGCCCGTACACAGACAACCACAGATTTATATTTTCTGTTCAAATCAATCCAACTGCCTATGTGCTACCTCTTCTTTGAGGTCTAAAGTTGCTTCAAACTCAATTTGCAAAAACTAAATTCATAATCTTTCTGCCCGAACATGCTTCTCTTCTAGTGCTATTCACTGGTGAATTCTGTCACCATCCATGGAGTTATGCAAGTCAGAAGTCTTGGCATCTACCCACCATTCAATAAGCCTTGTTTATTTTTCCCTATCCACTTTTTTCCATTTCTTCAGGACAACCCTAGTAAAGCAAAAGTGCTGGCATCCCTTGCCTAGATTACTTATTGTAGCCAACCAACTCATATCCTACACCATCCACTCTGCCCCACTTCTAAACCATTCTCCCCACCGTAACTAGAGTGATCTTTGAAATATAAATCTAACCACAAGATGATTCTCAACCACTTTAAATCCTTTCAATAACTCTTACTGTTCTTAAGAAAATAAAATTCTTTATCATGGCTTACAATGTCCTCCATGGTCTGGTCTGTATCCATCTATTCAGTCTCTCGACCTACCATGTTTTCCTGGCTCTCTGAACTCTAGCGACACTGATATTCTTGGGTCTCCTTCTGCCATATGATCTTTATATCTTCTGTTTCCTCTACAACAGAGATTTCCTCCCTCCCTCTTTACCTAGCTCATGTTAACGTTTCAGAACTTGGCTCAGCTGTCACTTCCTTCTGCCTCCCTATTATGTGATGTCACAGAACTAGACACCCTTTTATGAAACCTATGATAGTTAGAATTTTATACTTATCTCATACGTGAAAGTTGTCTTCATTGCAATCTCATATTTGTTGACATATTAATAACTCTATCTTCCCCTCTAAGCCGTACGCTCAATAAGGTCAGGGCCCTTGTCTATCTTCTCTTCACTATTATACCTCACAAAGAATAAGTGGACCAATAGAGGCACTACAAAGTACTTAAGTTATTTAAGGTCTACGTTTCCAAAGAAACTAAAATAAATAAACGAATATGTAAACGGGAAATAAGAACAAAAACTGCAGTGGAAGCAGCTATCATTCAGTGAATATTTAATATCTGCCAGGTACTGCACTAAATGCTTTGCATACTTGATTATAATTAATCATTAAAACACCTTATTTTACAAATAAGGAAAATAAGGATTTGAATGTTTAAGTAATTTGTTTATGGACATACAACTAATAAGTCAGAATGTGAATCCAGGCTCATATATCCCCCAAAGCCAATGCTCTGTATACTATACAAACAAGTATATTATACAGACATGAGGTGTGGAGGGTGAGAGGAGCAGTGTCCTTGCCTATTTGACTTTCCAGGTAGACTGACATTATTTCAGCCTGCCTGTAGAAACATACTAAGGCCTGGCAAACTATGGAATGAAAACATTCTAGCCTCAATTCCTGCTCCGTATGTGGCCAAGCTGGGATTCACAAGATCTCTAGGTTGTTGCTAATTAATAAATCATCAAATCTGATTCATCTCTATCAGTCTAGCACAGTGGCTCTCAACTGAGGTGGAGGGGTGTGACTTTGCCCCCAGGGGACATTTGCAATGCCTGCAGACATCTGTGGGTGTCACAACTGCAGGAGTGCTACCAGCATCTAATGAGTAGAAGCTAAATATCCCAAATGCATGGGACAGCTCCCAACACAAAAGGTTCATCTGGCCCTAAATGTCAATGGGGCTAATGCTGAGAAACCCTGGTCTAACACAAAAGGAAAACAAACGCGACTTCCACTTCCAAATACAACATAGTAAGTCCCGGCAGGCTAACGTTCCCACTGCAACAACTACAGAAAGAACAGATACACTGCAAGAATCACAGCGTTAAAGTCATCAGAGAGTTATGGAAGCAAACAGGAAAGACAAACCAAAATTCCATAAAGTTTGGAAAGCTCTTTTGTAGGTACCTTGTGCACGAGGAAACTTTTGAGGTTCACTGTCTTGATTGTGGAAACAGATTCACGAGTATACGAATATGCCCAAAGTTTACAGATTTTACATTTTAAATCTTTATGGTTTTATTATATGTCATTTATACCTCAATAAAGCCATTTAAAAAAAATTACTCAAGAATTTATTGAATGATGACAAGTGCTCAAAACACCTGCCAATATCTTATATATCCAAAATAACCAACCCAAAGAACTGAGGAATTACTGTTCATATTCTTTCAACATTAAAACTAGGAAAAGGTAACTCTGATAGTCATTTTCTTTTTTCTGTACCTTCTCTGCTAACTTTTGAGCTGAATGAGATCCTATGAATATCTAAATATCTACAAATTGGGCAGTTTCCAAATGTAACAGTGGATCACTAAATATGGCCTTTTAATTAGCCTGATATATTCTATAAATATGTATCTTACTAAAATTATGCAAATATTTATATACTTAAAATCTTATTAGAAAACCTATTTTTCCCTAATGATAACCATCAAAAAATATATTGTTTTTGGGGCCTGCCTGGTGGCGTAGTGGTTGGCTTCACGTGCTCTGCTTCGGTGGCCCAGGGTTCGTGGGTTCGAATCCTGGGTGCGGACCTACACACCGCTCATCAAGCTATGCTGTGGTGGCGTCCCACATACAAAATAGAGGAAGATTGGCAAGTATGTTAGCTCAGGGCCAATCCTCCTCAACAAAAAGAAAAAAATATATATACATATAGTTTTGCAGGTCACAGTAATTGATGTTGCTATTTTTATTTTAGCAGAATAAGTCATCCTGCTGAAAACAAACAACATATGAAAACCTGAATTTTCAGAAAAAGTTTTCAGGATGAATGTTTGACATAGGACTCTAAGATTACTTATAATCTAACTACATTTTAATGACAGCTTTTCAGGAAATGTATTATACAAAACAACATCTATTTAAACTTTTAGTTTTAAACATTCACAGCTTGAATAAAACTTTTAAAAACGCAGTGTCTGTTCTATGGAAAAAGTAAGTCATGTGAATGAGATTAATGTGGAAGTGTGAGTTCTAATGTGTGTGGAGGGAAGGGAGGACTAGACGCGATCTAAATGTCCTAGAGGAACAGCTGAAGGAAGAACGGTATGAGCGTAAGGTATGACATTATAAAGCAACTAATATTTTATAACTTCTACAATGAGTAAAATTATGGTCTCACTATTTATGGATTCAGCCAATAAAAATTATGGTCCTTATTTTTGTAGACCTAGCCAGACAAAATTCATTCCTGTTCTTCTCTCTCTCCCCTTCTTTCGTGTCAGGTTCTTTCTGTTGTCTGCGTAGCCCTTTGGAATTCTGAGTTCAATTTAGACCTGTATCTACACTGCTTAGTTAGGTAGGCACAGTAACCACTCAACTTAGGAGACGGACACCACTCACTACACAGCTGCCCTCATTTATACAAACAAAAATCATCTGAATCCTTTTAAAAAGATAAATGCTTTAAACTAATAGGAGTCAAATATAAATACAGGTATAAACACTTAAACAAGGATTTCAGCAAAAGTTAAACATAACAATACTTTGTCTTCAAAGTAACTAAGCTTTTCAAATATACGCAGTGTGTGAGGAAACCATACATTACCCTCCAGTCCTCTCTGTACTGGAGTGCCACTGATGCACCAGCGATTAATCCCACTCAAGCGCTGAGCCATTTCTGCAGCCTGAGAGAAATGTGAGATACAAAAGAAAAGAAAAAAGACAGAAAAATGCGGAAGTCAGAAATATGTTTACTCATGAAAAGAGTCCACAAAAGGCCATACTTCAGGTCAGACGCAAATGTTCTATTTAAGAGTTATCACACTCAATGTTGAATGTCTTATTCAACAGGGCATCTTCTAGGACAGTGGTTCTCATTGGCAGGAGGCTGCCACGTGTCTCCCCAAAGAGAAAAGGTAGTTCAAGTACGTGTAGAATGAAAAGGCCCTCTGAACGAATGATACATCCTCTAGACCACCCCATCCTCCAGATATTAACCACTGTGATAACACATATGATTCATACATTCAGTTCAGGTAACAGATGCCCAAAGAAGATAGAATAAAGACATATGACAAAGGCTGAATCAAAATTCTATGCTCTAAAGTAGTATTTTTCTGTTACCTTTTAGTCTCTCTGATAAAAAACTACAAAAGTCAACTCTGGCCCAAAGCTATCAGAGCCTATACAATGAGCTTTCCATGTAGCAGAAATGCTTACAAAAGTCCCTAAATAGAGTTTACTTTGATCTGTATCACACATGATCTGCCATCTTATTCACATATACATGAGCACTACATCTAAAGCAATGATTCACCGAGTACCAAAATAATTTCTAAGGGTTATGTAGTTTATATAGCAGGAGAGAGAAGCAAATGTAGACTGTTTAACAGCAAACTTTTGGCCAATATCAACACTGTGGGTTAACTACACTTAAACTATTAAATTTTCTATGGACAGCTTCCCCCAATCCCTTTCCCCTTTTCTCTTCTCCAGCCCTCACAAGACTCTGCAGAAATTCTCACTTTGACAGCAGGACATTCGACCATCTGAGCTTCATCCAGGCAGATCCTCCACCACTCCACAGCTACCAGAGGGCTGGGAATGGCCATGTAGCGCTTCTGGTTCCGGAAGCGACGCCCATCCTCACTATTGCTGTGTGGGATATCTACATAGTTTAGTTCTGAACGAAGGACGTCATAGGTAATGATAACTATATCCTGTTCCGCCAAAAAATGAGGCTGTAAAAAGCCATCTTTCTTCACTCCTTGATATACCTAGGAAATAATCAGCACAGACAGTTATTGCAGAAAGGCTCAACAAAAATAATTGAAGTATTCATTCATCTGTACCCTTACTGAGCCCCTTCTATTTGTTTAGGACCAAACATGCTATGAGATACATCCCATACCTTTCTAGAGGAAGATTTTAGCGTGGAGACTTAATAACCTAAGCAGTGCAAAAGGACCTGTAACAGCAGTAAATGTGACAGTATCACAGGGAGAGAGCAAGTCTATGGCTGAGAAGGTAAATTCAGAGAGGAGTTAACATTTGAGGTGGACCTTGCAAAACATCTAGTTCTCACAGGTGGAGAAAAGGGGAAAAGGACTCGGTAGGTAGGCAGATGGAATCAATGCACATGCAAAAGCACAATGGCATGAAAAAGTAGAACAATAAGAACTATTATTTACCGAATGCCTTTCATGTTTCAGACACTGTGCTAAGCTTCTCTCCCATCTTCAACAACAATCCTGTGAGTAGTTGTTATTATTCCTATCCCACACGTAAGAAACATGAAGGGACTTGCTCAAAACTGGTAGAGCTAAGATTCAAACCAAGGTTTGCCTGCCCCACAGAATAGAGCTCCTCAACGGCAAAGGCAGAGTTTTACTTATTACTGTATTCTCCAGGCCTATTACAGCTGAAATATAGAAAACCGCCAACGGCATGTGCGTGGAAAGAAGAACTGAGGGCGTGAAGGGTACTATTAGTAAACAGTAACACCAGATGACCACCGACATGTGCCAGCACTCTATCACATCACTTAATCTTCACAGTAAGTCTGTGAGAGGTACTGTTTTTAGAACTTAGCACAGCTCCTGGCACATAACAGGTGCTCAATAAATAAATATTTGTTGAATGAGTAAATTCTTATTTTGCAGATGAGGTAGTTGACACTTCAGAGGAGAATTCTGGAGCCAAGAGGTAGCAGATTAGACAAGTAGCTACTGTTAGACAACGCTGCCTCTGGACTGCATTTCTCTCCGAGAGTATAAATGCTTATACAAAGTCTTTTCTACTTAAAGGATCAAGACTTTTTTTTCAAAGGTTTCACATCTTCCCACTCAAAATGCTTTAACTTCTGATGTCAGAAAAGAATAAACAGTCTACTGTTCTACTTTTTACTCTCAGTTTCCTCTTCAAGTTCTGATTTACTATCTCATTAAATTAATTAGGGGGATGAACAACAAAGCAACAAAGATTATAAAAACTATCATAAAGAAGTAAAAATTCTCATTTTCCTATCCCGTTAAAGGGCCCTGACTGCCTTACCAAGACTCGAAGAGATGACGACCTCACATGCCTGTTGATCTCATCCACCCACTGATGACAGATGGAGCTGGGGGAGATGATCAGAGTTGCTCTTGTGGACACTGGCTCCATCGCGACAAGGCAGTGGGGGCAGTAAAAAGGCTTAATCTTCAGATTCTTCTCTTCATAATTCACACATTTTGCGTGTTGCCACAGGTGGCATTTCAGGCACTGAACACGAGGCTTATGGTCTATTTGGTCAAATTCACCACATATGCACTCAAAGCGATAATCCGAGGAATTATAGGGACTCGTGACGTTAGAAAGTGGGACATCACCACCAGCCGGGTTTAGAGATTCAGCTTGGTCCTTTGCTTCATGTTCTTGTTTGCCTTCAAAGACACATGTACCACTAGATGTGGTAACATCAGGAATTCCAGAGTCACTGGCAGCTGGACAGTGACCTTGTGAGTTGAGATTGACGTTATACTGACTTTTTCCCTTTTTTGTGGTTGGAATAGGCTTTTTCCTCAATTTACTACGATTTCTCCTGGTCTTACAGTAATAATAGTAAGGATCATCATCATCATCATCAGAGGTGTTTGATGGCAAGTATTCAGAATCTGTGTCCTTGCTCCCCGATTTTCTTGACTCTTTCTGAATTTTCCTTGGACTCCCTACCACCTATGAACAATATTTTTTATTTAATTTATTTCAGCAAAGTTACACTTCTGAAATTAAATTCCCAACTTTATGTGCTTTACATAATAACCCAGTAGCCAGTCTTTGCTACCCTTTTCCCTGAGGAGGACCACTCCTGATCAGTGGCTTTCAATCTGATCTCTGGAAGAACCCTCCCTATAGTCTACAGGTCCAAAAGAAAAAGAAGGCTCTACTAACTGTGTAATTAAAATTTGGAGAGAATAAACATTAGATAAAGGGAGTTACCAATATTTTGCTATCAACCTCTTATAATTTATAGTCTGCCTAAATCAAAAAGACTAGTAATTTATATTACATAAATATACAAACTAGGGCAATTATAAAAACAGCAAATACTAAAATATAGCATTTAAAAAAATGCAAGTTAATCTACTAGTTACTGCAATTAGCAAATTCCTTCTTTCTTTCTTCTTTCTACCTGTGTCCCCTCTTGCAATTATTTATTGAATGCTATTTCTGTGCCAGGCATCATATTAGATGCTGGGGATACAACTATGAGGAATATTTAGCTCCTGGTCTCAAAGGGGTCTTTTGGAAAAGAGAGAACAGTAAAAAGTAAAATGACGCTATAGATGCATAAGAGGGGTACATAACACAGAGAGGCTAGGATGTGGAGGTAGGTACCAGTATAACTTCCTAGAAGTAATGTCAAAGCCAAGGCTGAACAGAGGAGTTGGGACACTTAACATGGAATGAATAGCATTAACTGAAGGAGATTTTCTTTTTTTGGTGGCAGAAGGATTACCGAAAGCACAGAAATTCACTGCAGTCTTCTACTCTGGCTGGGGATAAAATGTTAGACTCCCTGCTCTAGGAAATGAACTTTTTGGAAATGAACTTTTTTGTCTGCCGTCTTTCACAGCAGCCAAGCTGGTAGCTCCATACTTTGACTTATTGTCATTAGTCTTTTCTAGATTTATGTTCAGAAATTTATAACTATTTTCTTAAAAGCAAACTGGAATTATTAGCTCAAAAGAAGCAGTTTCATAAAAAAGTGTAAAAATTTTATAAGATGATGACATGAGAAAAATGAGAATTTATATAAAAGATTCAAAATATATATAAAGCACTACGCAAATAAATGTAAGGTAGCATTAACAATTTTAAAGTACGGACCAAACTTTTTAACTGCTGACCACAGCATGATGAGGACAGAGAAGTTGTTTTAAACTATAACATGCTCAACCAACTAATTTTATAATTTAGTCAATAAATATTTATTGAGTACGTGCTACGTGCGAAGCACTCTTCTCTGGGATGGAGCTTATGTTCAGGAAGCAGAAAACCAGTCACAGCAGTAAGTGCTTTTCTTAACTTCTGTTTTTATCCTCAGACTGTAAGAGCTTCAGGGCTAAGGTGGGATCTGTCAACTTACTCTGTAAGGTATCAGATACAGCTACTTAATAAATGCTCTGTTACCTGCTTTTTTGTTTTATCATATATATCCTCTTCCTTATAATTCTTCCCCAATGTAAAAGTCCCCGAAAAACCATGGCCTTTGATCTGTTTCACAAGACCTTCAAAAATTAAACATTTCAGCATCCGTTTCAGAAGACTCCTGTTCCGCTGAACATCATATCTATATATAGAACTGACATACTTATAGATGGAAAGGATAGAAACTCCTTTTTTTCCATTCATTTCTTTCACAGCAGTCAGGATCATCACACGTGTAGCTAAACGCAAAAGGATATGCTAACTCAGTCAAAATAATTAAAATTAAAAGAAAATAAAACTCAGTTAATCTTAATGTGCATTGAGGACAAAGTCAAGAAAAAAGAAATCAAAGATTTATTGAAGATATATTGTCATTTTGAAGAATATGTAATAAAAATTTATCTCAATACATTGGGAAATAAATTACTGTAATAGAAACAATTTAAGGAAGAATTACATGTTAATTTGTTATTCTTATAGAGCAACTAAGATTTAAAATTATAAGAAAAAAAAGCTGTCCCAGTTATCTATGTATATGCTGCCATTAGTAAGGGAAACATTCATTTGCTAGCAGACTTTGAAGTAGCTATGCTCGAGACGAAATTTAAACATAACAGACTGAGCAAGAACTACCTGGACCAAGTCAAATGAAAGAATAAATCTTTACTCTTGTTAAGATAATGTGACTTGTAATTGAATCCATTTATGCAAAGTAAAAACTGTAAAAACTATTATTCATAACAATTACAAGATATTGCTATAGATAGTTTGCAAGAACTGTAACAAAGATCACTGTAAAAAGGTATTTTCTTTAGATTTCATACTTACGGGGGCACTGAACTTTTTCTTTTGGTTCAAATTCCATATTCTGGGTTTCCGTGTTTTTTATTTTTCCTCCAGATTGATGTGATGGAATGAAGTAATTCACCACTTTTCCCTGATATAAACAACATTCAGTAGTCACACAGTGTTTTGCTTTCAGTATTCTGAGTTACTTATTACAGCAACTCCTTCTATTAAGGAGATGCAAAAGAGTTGTAAAAAATCATGAAAGAAAGGGCTAAATATGCTACTCATACATACAAACCTTATTTTTTATTTCAGGACTTGTAGCTAGTCATCACTTTTTAAAATTGTGCATACTATTTTGAATTACCTAAATGTTAAGTGTGGAACTTCTGAAATTAACTTTTTAAGGCTTGTTTAAATATTGAATTAACCCACTGAACTTATAACAACACTGAAAATAACTTAGAATTATAATATCTAACGAGCAGAAAATCCCAAAAAGAAGCTACTGATAATTAAATCTGGATACTTCAACCCATCTTTCTACAAAGGAAATAGATATTTTCTATTCCCTACTCAAATCTGAAAGGCTAATTTCACAAACTTGATCCTATCAAAAGATCACAGATCACATAATTACTAAGGTTGTGAGTATGGTGGGCACTACAGGTGGTTACAGTTATACCCTTAATTAGTGGCCTCACTTCAGCAGAATTTAATGTGCTGATTTTAAATTTCATTATTGGAAAATATGAGCCGTGAGCTATATTTGCCCTAGTTGAAATTTTTTTTTTTTTTGTAAACTCTAAAATTTATATTTTTTAAACACAATTACATATATTTTGGAACAAGGACTTAGAGTTTGCTTCATCTAGCAATCTAATTACTAACAACATTCTAATTAATTATTAGATTCTAAGATTTACATATTTGAGATTTGCACAATTTTTTAAAAAATAGCTCTCAGAAATATTTAGTGATAATATGGAGACTTGGAGTAGTGACAAAATATTTGAGGAAATAATTGTACTTTCCTGAGGGAGTTTCTTTGCCAACCAGAAGGAAGCCTGGTAAATGACAGCATGTCCCCTTCCTAGTTGGCCAATATCACTTAAAAAAACCCTGCCGGGTCACAGACATCCCATTCTCTGTGCCCACTTGAAGTTAACTAACAACTAATGTAAATCATTAGCTGCAGAGTAAAAAAGTGTTGACTTAAGTGCCAAGCTAATGTTCGACATATGATGCTTTTTGAGAACATACGTCCCCTACTTTCCCAAGCCCTACAGTTCTCCTCCCACCTCAGGGAGAGTGGGAGCATCTTGTTTGACATCTTGTCGAGTGTGTGTCAGAATCAGAGCCAACACCTCCACCGTCTTGCCGAGACCCATCTCATCTGCTAAGATTCCTCCAAGCAACTGTGGCCCAGCACTTGGGTACTCGCGGATGATGCTTAAGGAAAAAACAAGAAAACACATCACAGGAATGCAAATCAAAATTATACTGTTCCAAAGAGAACTGAAAGAAATGCATAAAAGCCTAAGTTTTTTGAAACTACATTTTAAACAATTCAAATCCCTAAGTCACGAGTATTAAGAACTGTGACAATCAAAAAACTGCCTGAGCTGACAATTAAGTCTGCAGAAACAGGAGTGGTATTGGTAAATACCCATCATTTTTTCTTTTCTATAAATAAAAGGAAACATGTCTGCCTTGTTTCTGTGACCTTTATGAATCTATGAATAAAAAAATAAGAAGGGCAATAACTACTGACTCACTAAGTATATTTAATGATTCCTAAAACTTTTTTATAATATAAATTGATAAATTCAATGAAAAATATAAAAATTGGCACATGGTAATATGATGACACTGTTACACAGAACTGTAATCTCTTTAAATATCAATAATTAAGCATCTTAAGTCTATCACACTGCATTCATTTACTGAAAAATGACAAGTGCTATTAATTCTATATCTATCCTATCAATAAAAATGTCTAAAAAGACTTTAACTCAGTATCCCTTCTTGAGGTACTGTCAAGGCTAAAGACATGCTACCAATCTCACACAAGTTTTCATAATATTTTTTTTTTATTGCAGTAGCATTGGTTTATAACATTGCATAAATTTCAGGTGTACATCATTATACCTCTTTTTCTGCCTAGATTACATCATGTTCACCACCCAAATACTAATTACAATCCATCACTACACACATGTGCCTAATCATTTATTTTTTAATATCAAGCACATAAATAAAGTTTTGTCTCACCAGCCTGTATACGGATTGTAGTAGAGTTTCAAACCATCAGGTGTAACAATCTCTCGCCATAAGAAGTGCAGGGCATTTTCTAAAGAAAAATAAAACCATAAGAACAAGTTTTTGTTTGTTTTCCCTTCTGCCAGATAATCACATTAGAATAAAAATAAGTTAACAGGACACCCTGCGAAGCCACATACACATGGGAAAAAGGTTAGGATTCCTCTCATTCTTTTCTTCAGATATTATTCTGTAGCTTCTTTTGCTTTAGGCACAAATATTTTCCACATAAGCAAGTGATAAGACAGAAAAACAAAGTACAGCAAATAATAGAGGATTAAAGAAAAGAAAACTAATACACATAACAAACTCCTAACCAATAAAGGAAAGTAGCTTATCTTCTATAAATCCTTCAAAAAGTTGCCTGAGTCTTTAAATGACTCAACAGACATATGCTAGAGGGCTAATACATCAACTCAAACCAGACCTAACCTTTTATATGGGTCTGAGAGTAACAGGAAAGGCTTACTTAACTGAGGAAAAAATATCTAAAACTCTAACACTGAAGTGCTAAGTTTGTTCCAGCCAGAATCTTCCACTGTCCTTTCTCTTAATATTTTAAGTTGTTTAAACCAACTGCCAAATTGGATGTATGTCTCTACTCATCAGTGAAACAGCAAGTAATTTTTTGTTGCCTTCTTTAGGGGCTAATAGATGAAGCAGGAATATAGATACATAGGGTTTATAAAACAGAAAATTAAAAGATAAAAAGCTTCAATTTATGGGAACCATAGGGAACAGAAGAACTCCTAAATGACACATGGGATTTAATCAACAAAATCCAGTCTGTAGAAAAAAAGGATGAATTACTGATACGTGCAGCATGGACGGATTTCAAAAACATTATGTTCAAAGAAGCCAACTCTCCCCACACCTCCCAAGTGTACATATTCTGACATTCCATTTATTGTCTCAAAAACAGGCAAAACTAATTTATCGCAACAGTGGTTGCTTCCCAAAGGGGTTGAAGTAGGAGACTTTCTGGGTGATGGAAATTATTTTATGTCAGCACTGTATGCTAGAAATATAAAAAGAAATAGGTAAAATTAATTTAATGTTTATTTTATTTAGCCCAATATAACCAAAATATTATCATTTCAATATGAAATAAACATAAAAACTATTAATGAGATATTTCACATTCTTTTTTAGTACTATTTGAAATCTGGCATGTATTTTCAACTTAGAGTACATAATTCGGACAGCTACATTTCAAGTTTCAAGAGGAATTTGTGGCTAGAGGCTACCTTTGGGAAAGTCTAGTCCTATTTCTTAACTGGATTGTTGGTTACACAGATGCATAGATTTGTCAAAATTTATCAAACTGTGCACTTATGATCTATGCATTTTACTGTAAGTTATACCTTAATAAAACGACTTAAAGAAAAATTATTTCATTTTGGAGAAAAAATAATTTAGTCTGTGGGAAACTCTACAGAGCTAACAATTTCTTCAACAACTAAATTATAAGGAAAAAAACAGAATGAGAGAGAGGAGATAAACCTATAGATTAAAAGAAACTTAAGAGACAGTAACTAATTCCAATGTATGGATATTATTTGGTTTCAGATTTGAACAAACTATTAGAGAGAGAAAAATAGAAAGGGGGGAAGAAAGGATGGGAGGGAAGGAAGAAGAGATTTGGTGATATGAAGGAATTATTGGGTTTTAAAATCCAATTTTATATATATTTTTATTTCTGTTAAAAAAAACCCTTATCTTTTAAGGAAATAAACTGAAATATTAACAGCTGAAATGATACAATATGTGCTATTATTACTTCAAAATAATTAAAAGTACAGGAGGAGGAAGAGTGGGAAGAAATAATATTGGCTATGAATTGATATTTATTTTCCAAAAATGCAAGGTTAAAAAAAATGAAGTTTGTTGGATTAAAAGGTGTAAACTGGAGCTCATGGGAGAAATAAGTAAGAGCTATTCATCATCAACTAAAATAAATCTACATAGGAAGAATGAGAAATAGTCAACACTTGACTTCCTAAAATCATGTAAAAAGCTCATCTTGTGCCCATCCCTGTAAAGATAGTGATAAAGAAGTGGCATAAATTACTCCCATAAATCTAGTACTTTCATGAAAACACTCCAATAAATGACATTTTATTTTATCATTTATTTTGGAGTAAAGAAACGCAAACCTAGGAAAATTAGTCACACATAAGTCTCCCACTTCTGTAAATCTGCTTTCTGTCACTAATATTCACTACCAAATTGTGAAGGCTCTTGCAGATGATTAGCAGGATTCCCATCTGATCAGGGTCTAAAAGCAATTCCTAGTTGGAAAGGCATATAAAAATTGTCTTGGTTTTTAAAAATTCCAATCAAGGCAGCCTTTATTTTGGCAAGAAAAATCAATTCAAACTTTTATGGATGAGGAACTCACAAATGAATTTCTCCAGATTTCAATTTTGAAAGATGTCTTAGAAAATAATGTTATCCACAGTAACACCCATTGCATCCTTATCGATCCTTTTAATATGATTTGTTTAATGATGATTTCCCCCCACCCTAACTATGTCTCATATGATCCCTCTGAACAATTTGTCTTTCTTTAAGCATCTTATACTTGCCACTGGCAGGAGTGCTTCTGAAACGCTCTTGCTGCAGCATCCAATTGACAGCCTCTCTTTGGTATGGTCTCAACACAGGAGTCAAGGCAGGATGCTGGACATCCACTTGGATGGACTGTGTTTCTTGCTGATGTGCTTGCTTCACGAAGTGATAGAGCTCATCAACATCCTGTCCCTCTGGCTCGCTCTCGGAATCTTCCTCAACCTCTTCTAACACATCTGTATATCCAACAACAAATGTAGCCAAAATAACCCAATCCACCTTTTATAACTACAAGCAATTCTTATTCTAAGAACACACATGCACTCTCCCACCTCTGGGGCCCTGCTCAGTGGGTTTTGTGACTGGAAGGCCCTAACCTTAATTCCTCACACATCAAAAATCTACCCATGCATCCTGCAAGATAGTTCCACTGCTACGTTTTTCCATGGGAATTTCTTTTGTTTTCCCTGATTAGAATTAATGTTCTCCTGTGTTCTTGTAATATTCATACTTTGAATACAGCAATACGTTACAACCTGTCTGGCAGTACAATCATTTATGGGTATTCATCCCTTCCGCACTGAACTGGAATGCTCTTTGAGAGCAAAGGCTGCTTTTGTTTTTATAGCTCCTCAGAGCAGCTGGCACATGCTTTGCCCATTACAGATACTGAATAAACATTTGAGGAATTTAACGTGAATATCTTTTGCAATTGATAAAAGATTAATTTATTTCACTTTTAAATCTTAACATAAAAAAATCCATATGCAGACATAATTTTTCTATGCCTAATAAGACAAGGATTCCCATTCTATTTCTTATGCTAAAAAAGAACAGGCATTTGATAGCAGCATCAGCCAATTTAGCAGACAAGTGCTAAAGCCATTAATACAAATTTATAAGAATACCAGATTCACTTGTTGGGCACAATTGCCTTGTGGAAGAAGATTTATGCCTATTATAACATGAAAAAAAATAAAAATGTTGAACAAATTTACAAACCCTCTTTAGCTAATGATTCATTTCTGAATTGTTTCAAAAAGGCCTATACACTTTTTATAGGACATACCTCATATGCTCTAGAATGAAAAGATTATTCCATATAAAAGATTATGTATAGCCACAAAATACGTAACTTACTTTTTTCAATAAAAAATATGCCATGTAAGATTCTTAAAACTTTACAATTAATGTGTAGTTATATGCTTGGTTATTTCAGACTGTTACTATAGTTGCATAATCTAGTATTGATAACTAAATTTGAAATTTTCCTTTGAAAAGTTCAAATTGTATTATTTTTAAAAGGCAGAATAATGGAGTTCTTATCATAACTTTAAAAACTCTAGAGGTACTTAAAAGCATTCCTTCCAATTCTGAAACCAGAGATTTTCCTCCTTTTAAGTCTTTACGCATGCAAAAATATGCATAAATGATTTACTATTATTAGTATTATGAAGCTTTGCAAAGAATGTACTGCAAAAACAACTTGACAACCAAGCTTAGAAACTGATTTCCTGAATATTCCTGAAATGTTCTATAATTTGCACCTGAAATAATGCTGACCCACCATAAGCAGAACCTGGATAATTTGAGCCATTTTTTCAGTAGCACTGATGGGCTGCACCAAGCCATCCACACTCTCCCTTGGGAAGCAAGGGCAAACAACTCTGAAACAGCAGTCCTGACCAAGGATGCAACATCTTGCCAAGAAACAGTAGCAAAATTAACTGGTCTTTACGAGAAGCAGGCTCTTGAGATTATTTGTCAGACTGCAGAGGAGAGGTGGAATAAAGGCCAGCCAAGAATCTCTGGCCATGACAAAATAAAAGCACAGGAATGATGCAAAAATTCCAATCAGCTCAGATTCCTTTAGACTCTGCCTATTGACTCTGCAAACATTTCTTGAATACTTACTATAAGCTAAACATAGTATTAAGCAAATAAAGACACAAATTATATTAGTGGGAACATTTTAGATAAGTTTAATTTTGTCATACAGCAATTTTATGGAGGTTAATTTTTATTATGGTTTTATTAGCTGTTTTTCTCATGTTATGTATAGGAGCTAGGGAAAAACCCACAACTCTTAAGTAATAGCAATTTTAAAGTTTACTTTAAAAATTACCTGGAATAATAAAATTGTATAACTTCTCCATCACTCTCTTCATGAGTTGATTGAACTTTTTCATTCTTGAATTTGCATCACTTAAAAAGTCTAGTTTCGCTAGGCCATATTCCAAAAGATAAATTCCAACCTAGAAAGAATTAATCAACATAACAATAGTTTTAACTGCGTTACACCATTCTTTATGAGTACATAAGAAAAACATTTTTTACCATCACCATTTTAAAAGTATTCATAGTGTTTGCCCCATAAGCACTAAATATATACCTACCAAATCTCCCTTATATATTTTCACTTGCAATAACAATTTCAGTCTACAAATGCAGCATCTACTAGGTGTGATGCACCATTCAAGTTGCTAGAAAAAAATACTTCCCTAACTGGAACCGAACCTGGGAGAATGTGATGCAAACACCACCTCTATCTACCAAGTCAGTGATTTCCAAACATGATGAGTATCAAAATAATCAGTGAATTGGTTAAAAATGCAGATTCTCCCAGAAGGTTCTGACATATGCCAGGATTCTTAAGCACAGTTAGGCTTGGGAATCCCTATTACTAGATCAAACACTAAAATGTATAGGAAAACAGACCTTGATTAATGTTATATACCTTGATTCTGGTGAAGCAATGCAGTATGAAGTTTTGCAGTCGAAATACGTGAATTTAAATACTGGCATTGATATTTAGGAGTTAAATAAACAGGACACATAATTGATTTATTTTGACCCAACTGTTCTCATTTGCAAAATGGAGAGAATTTTGCACTTGAGACAGCCTAGATAATATAATTTTAAAACTTCCTTGTGGTAGATACTCAATAAATACGGTTTCCTTCATTCCTCTGTATTATCCTGGACCTGATTCCCTAACAACTGCGATTTTCATTCTTTCACTAAAGAACGAGAATCGACCAGCATTATATGGGAATGACTGGCAAAGATTCTGTTTCATCATTATTTGCACTCTACCCTCTGCTCACCTACAGACAGATCACTATAGCAGCAATAAACGTTTAACTATCTATAAAAACCAGGATCAGAGAAGACAGAAGAGATCAAGACTTGGTATGCGGGGGAGGTGGACAGAACACAGACACACAAGCCATGAATTCTTACATACTTGTTATCACTGAGCCACAATTTTGGCACTCACAGTCAGCAAAGGGAGGGAATGTTTGGTTGCATGGTTTCATTGTCCAGGGAAAAATTAATTACAATCTAATACTTCTGAAATTTCTCCTTTCCTTCTGTCAACTCTGGAACTATAAATATGGGTACTGATATAATTACTTTTTAATATGAGAAATGTATAAGACCGTTTTCAATTGAACAAAGGTGAATTTAACCTTGTAGAATTTCTTTTCAAGTTTTAGCATGAAAGCACATCAACCTGTTTCATAGTTTCTAAGGTACACTTACTTAACATTATCTCACCTGATTTGCAACACAATTGTATCAGGTAAAAAGAATGGGTATTATTCACATTTCATACAGAAAGAAGTTGAAATTAGAGCATTTAAATGATTTACATAAAGTTACTGGCCTACTAAATAGCAGAGCCTGAAATGAATTATACATTTATTCATTCATTTACTGAAAATCTGTTCAGTATCAGGCACTTTACTAGGCTGTGAAGATAAATGACTTCATAGTGCAGTGAGGAGAAAGATCTAAAATGTAAGTACACTACAAGTGAACAAGTCAAAAATAAACAAATGCATCAAGTATTATGAGGAAGGGCACACAACACCATCCATGGAGTTTAAGAAAATATCTCCCTAGATGAAGTCAACTCGGAGCTGAATATTAAAGAATAACCAGGAGTTATCAGGGAAGAGGAAGGGAACAACCCAGGCAGAGGGAATTATGAGAGCAAAAGAAAGCAAGATGCAGAAAGACAGCAGGGAATGTGCAGGAAAACAAATCCATTTGGAATTTCTGGGACAAAATAAAAAGCAGAGTGACATGAAATAAGGCTGGAGAAGCAGATACGGGCCTACCAAAGGAGGGACTTACATGCCAGACAATACTGAATTCTGTAGGCAGTAAAGATCAGAATTCCGTTTGCACTCATATTACACCATTCCAGAGACACAGTAGAGGAAGGAGCTGAAAAGGCAAGCAGGGCCATGGTTAAAGGATGGTGGCAGGAAGAGGAGGAGACAATCAGGACCGAAACAAGTCACTGAGAGCAGAGCTGGAAAAGACGAACCAGGAAGATCTCCTTGAAAAGGTACAGCCTGGAAGTGATCAGCTACAATATATATATTTTAATAGTTACTGAGAGCCCAAAATAAAGTGTACTTTGAATCTAAATGAGAGGCTTATTGCTGCCTTTTCAGACCTTCCTTCTAAGTTAACTTCAAAATGGACTGCCCAAAGCAGAGGAACCTTAAAAGACACCACAGAAACTGAGTACCTTGATAATGTGACTTCCTTCTGGTTTTTGGTAAAGTTTTATTCTTCTCTTCTTTTGCAGCCACCCCAAATCTTCTAACATTTCACCGCTGAAGGATGATTCCACTCGAATACCCCTGTTACAAATACCGATCGGCTCATTAAGTCCTTTTTCTTGTTTCTCTCCATCTTTGCATTCTGAATGAACACAGATCAGGAACTGATCGCTTGACTCTGAACTCATCAGTGTAAAACTCCTCTCAGAAAAATTTTCAATTAAACTCTGTTCAGGAAGAAGCTGGAGAGTTAATTCTCCTAGAAATGCTTTCCAAGAATTATCGAAGTGATGGGGAGAAATCACAATATTCAGCTTTACAGACAAAGGGGAAGAAGTGCCCCCAGTCTCTTCTCTATCGACTGATTTTGAGCCACTCACTGCCTCTGAACACCTCTTCTTATCCCTAGGAGCCACTTCTTCCTGTACACTATCATCTAGGATGACGCAATGAGCAGAAGAGGAGTCTGAACAGGGGCAGGAGTGCTCATCATCAGTTAAGAGGAGAGGCTCATTTCTTCTGTCCTCATGCATATTCCAACGGAGCTGCTGTTGCTTTTCTTCATCTATCTTCACGGGAAGAGCACGTTTCCGTCGGCTGCTCATTTTCAAGTTTTCTTGGTAAATGTGAACTCTAGAAGACAAACGCAACAGTAGGCATTCTATGAGCAGATTTTAGTATCAAAGTGTTCCCAGATGAGAAATGCAGCATAAACTTATAGTCCATACACATAGCATGAAATCTTCAGAGAGATACATAAAGCAATGGATAATTTTTTTAATAAGTCACATACAGCTAAGGAACATATTGACAATAATCTCATGCATCATATAAATTCTAATGGTTTTACTGGTGTTTAATGGATAAAATTAATAAAGATAATTTGTGGTATAAAATAAAATAAATTCTAAAAATACATTTAATGAGTAGCATGACAGTAAAGTAAATCTCTCAAATATCCTGGAAATGCATACTTGAAGAGTTTTAGTAACATTTAAACTCATACCATCATTACAGAATTTCAAATTTGTTTTATAATCCCAAAAGGTTAACAAAACTTCACTCAACCCTTACATAGTTTTAAAAAAATCCCTAAAAATGTATCTTTTCTTTTAAAAGAGGAAGATGAAAATATCAAAATGTATTTCTTTTCGTGGATTAGCAGATAAAAAAGATAAGAGGGATAGCTAGGCAAGGAATAAGGTAGTGACGGCAACCAAAGGAAATAGGGCAGAGACAATAAAAGAAAAAAGAAAAAAATTCAGGAAAAAAAGAAAAGAAAGGTTTGTCATCTCAAAAGAGAAAATTAAGTTGAAAGCAGCCTATAAAGTAGGGCCCAAACTACACTTTTCCCCAAATAATAGCCAATTCCTATATGAAACCTAGAACAACTCAAAGAGATTAAATCATAGTCATAATGATAGTTGGTGCCTATTCCAACCTACTCCAACCATTTAGGTGAAAAAAAATGAAAGCATAAACAATTAAAATTTGGGTTCAAGTGCAGTTTAAGAAATATTCTCAATAATTCCATTTTTGAGTAGAATCCAGTCAGGTATTTGCTGAGTCCCCATTAAGTACTCAACACAGTGCTGTACTTTAGGGGAGGATACAAAAGAAATACAGATCAAATCACGCTCTCTAATTCAGTACAGACAATAAACCACACTTTGTTTTCTTGAGGACAAACTGAGCGCACAGAGCAGTCTACACTCTCTACCTCTACTAATTCCCCATCCCTGACCACCCTGCTCCAAATCTAGGAGAGAATGAGAAATGTCTTTTAAAGAAACAATTCAGAAATATATAGCCCTGTTTAAAACAAAACCAAACCACTAGGAGAAATCTTAGTTGACCAGAAACTTTGAGGAGTTCCTAAAGAACAATATAGAGGGAATCAGTCTGAAAAGCTAAGTGACATGTGAATGTATCAGCACAAAAGATGGGAGCATCATCAAGAGGGCCTGCACGCTCATTGGTGGCAGAAACCAAAGTGGATCCAGGGCTACAAACAGATAACAGTGGAGCAATAAAGTGGGAACCGGCAGCCCCTTACCTGTCCTATCTCTCCTACAGGCGAGGCAGCTGTGACGGGAGTATCTATTTTCTGGTGAGAACAGTGCCTAAACTGGAAAGATGTCCTTTGTTACTGACCACAGAAGCAAAAAGCAGATGGCAGTGGACTCTGCCTATAGAGAGACCTCACCCACCCCCCACGCACACTCACTACAACAGGAAACACGTCCCAGCAGCTTCTTCTAAGTCTCGTCTTAAGCAACCTGTACAAGCAGAGACTATGAAAGGTGAAGCAGGGCATCTGCACTACAAAGATGAGCTCACAGGCAAAAGCAAACACTAAGGGATCTCCAACAGGAGAAGAAATCAACCAAGACAAACTTGCACCCAAGGAAACAGATGGAGTAATCTGAATAGGACTGTATATCACATACAATCAACATCATCACATTCTCAGGGAGATAAAATACTGTTTTCATTAAATAGAAGCAGGAAGTCATAACACAAAAAAGATGGTTATTAAAAAAACATTAGCAATTTTAGAAAAGTAATACATTACTGAAATTTGAAAGAAAAAAATAACTTGGCCAATGACTCAGTAGCAGAATGGGTATAACCACAGAGCAACTGTTACAGTGATCCCTGAAAGAAATGAAACAAATGAAGTAAGTTATACTAAAGCCCAAGCTAGAGTAACCAACTCTTCCCAGTTTGCCTGGGACTTTCCTGGTTTTAACACCAAAGGTCCCAAATCCCAGGAAACCCCTTAGTTCCAGCCAAACCAGAATGGTTGGTCTTCCTTGCCCTAGCATACCCCTAGGAGAAGAGTTTCCAGGTACAGCACAGGGAGAAGGGAACTCAGAGTCCAGTGGTCTCTCTTGAGTTAAGGGGGCAGAACTGAGAATTTGTGGGGCAAAATACCAGAGAGGTGGGAGCTGCTCACAGAGAAGGCTCTGGAAACATGGAGAGGAGTCCCTTGAGTCTCTGAGGGGGTAATGACCTGTATTTTCAAGTGAGGGAAATATTCAAAGCTACAGAAAGAACCACTAGAAGAAGTAGGTGGAACAATTCCTGGAACTCATCCACGGTTAAGAATAGCTTGTGGAAAGACCCCTAACAAATGAGGCATCATGTAGAGTTCTCAAACAGCTATTGTCCCTATTTTCAATATGTTCAAGAAGGCAGAGGAAAACATGAAGATGACGAAGAGACATGGAAGATATACAAGAGAACCAAACGGAATTTATGTAGATGGAAAAAACAACATCCGAAATGAAAAATACGCTGTATGAAATTAACAGCAGATAAGACATGGCAGAAAAAAAACAGTGAGCTTAAACGCAGTAGCAAGAGAACTATCAAAAATGAAGTAGAGAAAGAAACAAAGAGTGGAAAAACAATAAACAGAGAATCAGACACCTATTGGACAATGTCAAACAGTCTAGCATGCACAGAATTGGAATCTCAGCAGGAAAGGGGGGAAGAAGAAGAAAAAAATATTTGAAAAAATCATGCAAAATTTTTTTCCAAATTTGATAAAATCAACCTAGAGAACTAAGAAGCTTAAAGAAACCTAATCAGGTTAAACACAAAGACAACCACGAAAAGGTACACCATAATTAAACTGCTGAAAAGCAAGACCATCTCTTCAAGTTAGCCCCATCTCTCTGGTGTATGCATTTGTCTCAACCTAGACTTCTAAATCTAGCATTCTATCTTTAAGAAACGAAGGCAAAAAAAAATGACATACAAAAGCCAAGAGAATTTATCACCTACAGGACTACACTACAAGAAATATTAAAGGAAGTCCTCAAGCAGAAGAAAAAGGATATTAGGTGGAAATTTGGATCTACACAAAGGAGGGAAAGCATCATAAATGAAAAATATGTGTATAAATATAATAGATGTTTTCTCGTTTTTACATTTCTTTAAAAGATAATTGATTTTTAAAACTTTTTAGTTTGAAAATTGTCAAGCCTATGTAAAAACAGAGAAAACAGTATGCTAATACAATCATAGAGACGTACTATGTTTATGGGCTAGAAGACTCAATATATCGATTCCTCGATACTGATCTAGAGTCAAAGGAATTCCATTCAAAATCCCAACAGGATTTTTTTGTAGAAACTGACAAGCTGATTCTAAAATCTGTACTGAAATGTCCAACATCCAGAAGAGTCAAACAATTTTGAAAAATAAGAATAGGTTGAAAGGCTTACACTGACTCCAGCACTTACACTGACAGTAATCAAAGCAGTGTGGTAATTGTGTAGATGTAGACATACAGATCAACGGAACAAAATAAAGTGTCCTGAAACAGACCCACACGTGTATGGTCAATTGATTTCTGAAAGAAACTCAAAGGCAGTCAATGGGGAAAGAATATTCTCTTCAACAAACAGATATCCATATGCAAAAGAAAAGAACCTTGACCTTTAACCTCACACCACACATAAAAATTAACTTGAAATGGATCATAAACTGAACTATAAAACTGGAAGAAAACAGAGGAGAAAATCTAAGTGACACTGGATTAGGCAAAAAAAAAAAAAAAAATTTAAATAGGACACAGAAAGCAGAGACTATAAGAAAATGATAAACTTAGCTTCATCAAAATTAAATACTTTGGTTCTTCAAAAGATAGTTATGGAAATGAGAGGGGCAGTCACAGATGGGAGACAATACTAGTAAAACAAATATCTGATGAAAGAGTTGTATGTGGAATACATAAAGAACTCTCACCAATCAACAGTAAGACGAACAACCTTAGTAAAAAAGTGGACAAAAATTCTGAACAGACACTTCACCAAAGATGATCTACAAGTGGCAAATAAGCACATGAAAATATCTTCACCATCGTCAGTCATTAAGGCAAGGCAAATTCAACCCACAAACCACAATGAGAAACTACATACCCACCGGAATGGTTACAATTTTAAAAACTGAGGATGTCGAGCATCCTCTGAACTGAACTCGCAAACATTCCAACAGGAAAAGTTCATCAATTTCTTATACATGTAAATATACATTTTCTGTGAAGCTTAGTAATCCCACTCCTAGGTATTTATCGAAGTGAAATAAAAACATCGATTCACAAAAAAGACTTAAACTTCAATGTTAATAGCAATTTTATTAATAAAAGCCCCAAACTGGAAACAACCAAAATATCCATCCCCTGGTGAATGGCTAAACAAATGGAATACCACTCCATGATAAACTACTGATACACACAACAACACGAATGAATTATTAAAGCATTAAACTAAGTGAAGGAAGCCAGATGTGAAAGTCTAAATACTGTATGATTCCATTTACATGAAATTCTAGAAAAGGCAAAAACCTAGTGAGAGAAAGCAGATTTGTGGTTACCAGAGGCCAGGAAGTGGTAAGAGGGGACTGACAGCAAAGAGGGAGGAGCGAGAGCTGTGGGGTGACTGACATGTGCTACTGGTGATGACATGATGGCATAGGTTGGTCAAAACTCATCCAACTGTACTCTTAAAATGGCTGAATTTTATTATACATATACCTTGTTAAAGCTGATTTAAAAAGCAAAACCAAAAAGTAGAGGCAGGAGGGATTTGAAAATTATGACAGAATATTAAGAACAGCTATATGCCAATAAACTTCAAAAATCTAGATAAAATGGCTAATTTACTAACAAAATATAAATGAATAAAATTGGCCCAAGAAATATAAAATCTGAATAGAACAATAACTATAAAAGAAACTGAAGTAATGCTACTTATCTTCCTAACACCTAACCCTCTTCCTTGCTGACAGAACCCTTCTTTTATTTAGGAACATGGTGGCCTTGAGACTTAAAAGGAGGGTGGTTTTCTCAGCAGCCCCAAGGAAGCTATTTGTCTTTGCAGTCCAATAAGGTTGCCATGAGCTGCATGTCGCTATTTAACTTTAACTAAGATTAAATAATGTTATAAACTCAGCTCCTGATCTCACCACACTTCAAGTGCTTAAAAGCCACACGTGACTAGTGGCTAATGCACTGCACAGCGCAGATACAGAACATTCTCACAATTGCAAAATGTCTACCAAACAGTGCTGGTCTAAGCCAATCATGAGAATTCCATTCCCTCAGCCAGCACTTGGTTTATCAATGTGCAGGTGATGGTCTATAATCAGTCTCTGGATATGGGTAACCACTTTTCAAGCATCTGATCTCCTCTCATCTTGGATAAGAGATCAGAAGAACATAGGCAGCCCTAATAATCTCAGTGTTTATCTTTGTCCAGTCCTCAAAGCACAGGCTGGAATACTGGAATCAGGTCACTTGGCTGTAACTTGGAGAGGTTACGCTCTACCAGCTGATCAGTTAACTACGGTGTAACACAAATGTGCTGTATAACACGCCACCCTACAGCTCGTGCCTTGAGACGGCAGTCATTTATTCTCACAGATCAGTAGGTTAGCTGACAACTGGCTGACCTAGGCAAGGCTTCTGGAGGAGCAGTTTGGGTCTGCTTAATGTCAGTCTCATCCTCCTCCTGAGACCAGCAAAGTGACCCAGGAAGGTTCTTATGGCAATGGCTGAGGTGTAAGAGTGCAAATCCAATTACACAAGTACTTTTCGAAGTGCTTAGTCACGGCAAAACCACTAGGGTTCCAGGAGCCAAAGCAAGTCACACGGATGGACTCCAAGTCAAGAGGTGGGGGAACACACTACACTTCTTTACTGGGGGGAACGCCTCATGGCAAAGAGCGTGGATATGGGGGGGCGGGATTGGGTCAGTTACACAGTCCATCACACCAACCACAGTAATATTAATCACATGGTAATTATGGAATCATTAACTCAAAAGGCCGTAAAAGCAACCGGCAGTAGAGTCTCACATCTGCAAAGCAATGAGGTATACAGGAGAGAATGTGGGCTTTGAAGGGCTAGATTTAATTCTAGCTTTGGCATTTACTAACTGTGTGGCCTGGACTACTTAGCTAGCCTCTCTGTGCCAGTTTTCTCATCTCTAAAATAGGAATGATAGCAGGACTGTGGTTAGACCTAAGTACAACAGCACATTAACAGAAATTTAGCATGTATTCAGTAAGTGGTAGTTGCTATCATCATCATCCTGAGAACACTATAAACCAGTTTATAATAACCAAACTTTAATGTGGCAGGATGCGGACCCTAGATCAGTGTGTTTCAAATTTGACTGCACATTAGAATCACCCAGAGGGAACTTTTAAAAATCCTGATGCCCAGGTACTTCCCAGCCAATTAAACCAGAATCTCTGGGGGTAGGGCCCAGGCACTACCCCCTTATTTTTCAGGCTCCGTAGATGATTCCAGCGTGCAGCCAAGTTTGGATAACCAGCCGCCTACTAAAATCCATTTCTTTCCTTCCAACGTATAGTACAGAAGGGAAATGTCTGCCCAAATGGCGCGGCATCTGTAATAGTCTCACAACCAGCTCTAGCCAATGAACTGTGAGCAGAGGTAACACGTGCCATTTCTCTTACAACAATCTTGTAACAGAGATATTATTGAACCAGAACATATTTCTTCAACTATTTATTCTGTTCTCTGGTAACTCATCCAGTAGCTTTTAAATTATATATACCACTATAATTTGCACATTCCTTCAGCTGTTTGCCTCCAACACAATCCTTTTAACATTACAGCCTCAAAGTATGTATCATTTATAATGATAAGTTGGAGAAAAATGAATACCAAGATTTCCAGCAAGGCTCTCCTTTTGTCCAGTTCTCAACTGAGCAAACATTTGTGATCCCCCTTGCCGCCCCTCAAATCTTGTTTTGGTTGACTCTTTTTCTAAGAGATCTCTATCTAAGAATAACTTCTTGAACCAAAGATATTATTTAATCAAAGCCATTTATAACCATACTGTTAACCGGCAGCCAATAAGTCAGGTACTAGTAAAATTCTATATACCTCTCTAATCATATTCCAATTCCAAATCCTTCTCCTGGTTTTCTCCATACCACTTGAATCACACCCTTGATGGTTTTACTTCTTCCTCTCCCTTAAATATCAGTCTTTGGGTAAAACATGATTATATGCAGTTTTCTATATAGACTACACTTTTACCGTCCCGCATTTAAATGCAAAAGCCCTTTGCTTGAAACGCCTTGTCACATTTTTCTTACTATCGCTGTCCCAATATTCCCACAAAACCTTCCATGACCAGGTATGCTGAGTTAAGGGCCTCTCCTCCTTGATCCCAACTGCTACAGTGCTCTTAACTGTTTGACTTTGAACTACTTGGAATAGTATCCTATTAAGCGTTGTACCCCAATGCCAGGTCAGTGTCAGGATGCAAAAGATATACAAAATAAGGTCACACAAAGATCTCTAACTCCCTGAATATCCTCCCTCTTTTTAAGAACTTAATAGTATTTTACTCACATTTCATTTTGGACAAGTGTCTCTTAATCACATTCTAGAAGACTATAGGTAATGTGAATCTATTCCTTACTATTTCTGGCCCAGAATGAGAGAGAGAAAACTGATCTGCATCTTTTACAGAAAGCAGAGATAGACTGCTAGACAAATAAACACAAATGTTAAGTTACTAAGACAACAGAACAAATGAATGTCAATTAAACTTTAATTCAGACTTTTTTCCTCCAAATTACTATATCTTCATTAAAAGACACATACCAATTCTGAATTATAGCAAATCCATGATAGCCCGGGTTCTAGGCTATCAAAGGCAACAACAAGTATGCATTTGTCACCCTGCTGTCCAAGGTGAGCTTTATGCAAGTGAAACCTCATCATTACTGATGACTGAAAAGCTCTTAACGACCTAGCACGACCACAATCTTTTTCCAGCAGGGTGAGAGTATTTTCACCTGTTGAACCCTAAAATACGTGTTAGTCACATAAACTTGAAAAATGCCCTTATAAGAAGCTTTTTCACCAGCAGATTCTGTTTCCCCCAAATCTTTCTAGCCTGAACTCTTACTAAAAGATCTGTTTTAATAATTCCATACATACAGTTCTTTTAGGCTGGGCAAAAAGAGGATATATATAATAGCACCTGCAAAAGTAAACTATTTTATTCTCAAACTACCAAGGTATTGGCCAACTGGTCCTTCCAAGCTCTAGAAAGTGCAGGTTATCCAATATACGAACACTTGTTTCACTACTGTCCACTCTGCTTCCTGCATGGTTACTGATCATAAAGCAACTAGTCTTTTCGGGCACAGTAGAGATCTCACAGATCATTTCTATTCATGGGAGTGTCATCATTTCTGCTATCACCCAAAGGAATAATTTAAAAAATAGCTGTCATGGCTTTAAAATTATTTAATTTTGTTCAGTTAAAGCCTCAAGTTAATTTAAAGGAAGACATCAAACATCGAGGACTTCTACCTCGTGGCTAACGTCAAGTCACTTAGAAAAAAGGCACAAGCTTAAGGATCATTATTCAGTAATCCTGTATATCAGACAGCGACCGTCAATCATCAGCTAACACATCTTCCTTCACTAACCTAGCAAGTACCGTGGAATTAAAATGAGCAACCTGCAAGGGCGGGTTTGAATGCGAATGCAATTCACCTGACTCTGAAGGTAACTGAGAACTTGCAGAATTAACTCAGAAGCCCGGCCTCCCCTTGGACTAAGTTACAGTCGCGCACCAGGAAGCCGGGCGGCTGCCCGGCTCCAGCCTCCCGGCGCACAGCTGCGGCGAACGGCGACACCCACCCAGTGCTCCCCCCAAAGGCTCCGCAGCGGCGCGGGGAGCCGAGCAGGGTGTCAGCGCCCGGTCGCGCCCAGCAGCCCGCGCAAACGAGCCGCCGCGAGGACAGCCCCTCGGACGCTCGAGCCAGACCCCGCAGGCCCGGGCCCCGGGGGGACGCAAGCCCGCCGTCCCACGGCGCCCCCTTCTCCCCGGGAGCCGGGGGGTGCGGGGGCCCGCGCGTCCGGGGTGGGGAAGGGTCCAGGAGACTCGCGCGGCGGTCCCTCTCAGCCCTTTACCTTCTCGGGCTCCAGCAGGACCGAGTCCTCCCTCCCTGGGATCTCCGGCTGCGTCCACGGACATCGTCCGCCCCCGACCTCTGACCCCTGACCCCCCCCATCACCCAGGTGCCTACCTAGCCTGGTTCTCCGAGCCTCTTGAGCCTCTCTGCAGCACGGCCCGGGGCCCCCTAATGCCCCCTCGGGTTGCGGGCAGGCATTCGCCACCCACCGAACACCCGCCTGAAGTGGGCGCGCGCCCTTCAGGCTGGTCTGTGTCGCGGGTCCCGGGGGGCCCAGAAACCACAGCGCCTAGCTGCCGGGCGCGCGCGAGCGTGAGGTCAACGTGAACGCGCACGTCGGGGCGCCCCACCCCCTTTCTCCCGCGATGGCTTCATGAGTCTTTTCTGCGCAAGTCCGCACGGTTAAAGATTATCAAAGGAGACGGGTCCAGTCTCGCGATAGCTCTGTCCCACGATATTAAAGAATTTGTACAGGATTGGCTGGAACCTCTAATGAGGAGGCGGGGCTCTAAGAAGATGTGGGCGGGGCTCCCCGCTGAAGGGGCGGGGCTCTCCTTGAAGCGAGTGACGGGTGTAAATGATTTATGGCTTTCATGAACAGGCAGAAAGGAATTCTGCAAACGCATCTTTTCTTATTGCATCTAGAAGAGAGCCGCTAACTAGGTACGGGTGAAGCTTATCTCCCTCAAAAAAGTTTTTTCAAAAAAACTTTCCGGGGAAATGTGAGTAAATATTTTAGGGTGAGAGAAAAACTACATGTATTGTGCCTAACTTGGCCTTCCAATATCTTAGTCTTTTTTCTTTCTCTGCATTTAGAGGTAGCCTCTTTCTCATGGAGGTAGAGTTATGCTTAGTTAACTTTGGACTAACTCTGAAAGGCCAAGAGTCTGTAAAATAACCTGCAGGAAACATTGAGTGCTCAGTGATTAATGAGTACCTAATAATGACTCAGCATTGTGTGGTTTGGCCAGCCTTGGTGGTCTAATGCTTAAGATTCTGTGCTTTCACCACCAAGACCCAGGGTCCTTCAGGTGAGGGCACCACACCACCCGTCTGTCAGTTGTTGTACTGTGGCCGCTGTGTGTTGCTGTGATGCTGAAAGCTTTGCCACCAGTATTTCAAATACCAGCAAATAAACAATTTATCACTGTCGGGGGAAGAGGGAGAATCTCCCTCTGCCCTTTTCCTTAAGGTTCTTCTGGCTGGCCAAATAATTAACAAGACAGGTTAGCAGGAGAAAATAATACCAAGTTTAATAACATGTATACATGGGAGAAAGCAGGGACACTGCGTTTCT